CTGCAGTAAGACAGGGGTGGGGGTGCGACGGGGGAGTCACATGACCTAAGTAAGCTCTTTGGGTTTCCCATTTCTTTTTTAAATCAAGGGGATAAAATCCTATGTAATGTTCAAGAGTTTATAACTTTAAGTGAACCAAGGGTTTCTTTTGTATACTTTTTTAACTTTTTCTTCCTTTTAGGTAATATTTAACAAGAACCAAGATGCATAAATTAATAACCAAGATGCAGGGCTGACACATTGTCTAATTACAGGGGTGCTATTCTCACACAATCTGCATGGAGCCTCCTGAGCAGCTGCATTCAGCAGCCCTGCCCTGCTGAAAACAAGCCAAGTAGTTTAGTGATTCATAGGTTCTCTGAAAGGGTTTAAAACAGCCTCAAATTGCAATTCCTTTACAACTTCCCTGAGGAATTTTTTCAAAAGGCATGTGTGTATCTTCCTATGTGTGTATAAGAGATAAATTATATTACATTACATTTGGCTCACAAAATCAGAATCTCTGAGTTAAAATTCTTTCTTTATTCCTCCCTTAGCCATGTGACTAAAAGCAAATTACTTAAATCCTCTGTGCCTCAATTTTCTCATCCAGAAAGTGGAGTTAATAATAATAATAATAATAATTTCTGTCATTTCTTCAAATGAGCAGGGTCATTTGAAGACATTCATAGGAACTAGGCACTTTGGGACTTGTACCTAATATAAGAGTAAGCACATTTTAAAAAACATTTATACTCTTTAATTATGAGAGGTCGTTTTTAAAATGTTTAAGAGAGTTTTATCATTTTATTGTCAAAATGATTAATATTAATTTCAATTTTTCAGTTTTCCTTTTGTGTTCTGGAGCCAATATATTTTTGCTAAATCTCAACCAGTTTTATAATTTGCTGCAGAGCCATAAGCCGAGACACTGTTCTTGCAGAGGTATCAGATAATACATCTCTTACTGTGAAGTTTAAATAAGATAATCCACATGAAGCGCTTCAAACTGTGCAGACCCATAAAAAGCCTGTGTCAAATGTCAGACTTATTCATCATCTTGACTGCAGAACTTCTGAGACTATCCAGAGACAAACAAAAGACCAGTGGATTGGCTAGCTTACTAATGGCTCTCAACCCTAGCTGCATATTTGAGTCACTTGCAGATTTAAATATCTTAATGCCCAGGCCACCTGCCAGATCAATTGCAACAGACTATCTCGGGGTAGAATTTAGATATCAATACTTTCATCACTCCCCAGGTAATTCTAATGTGTAAAGTTGAAATCACTGAGCCAAGCAGAGATAAGCACTCTCCATGTACCTCTGTAATCATGAATTATCTTCATCACAAAATAGTAAGAATATTTTCCTTTAAAGTAGCAGTTCTCAAAGTGTAGTTGCCAGACCAGCAGCATTGACATCACTGGGGAACTTCTGAGAAAAGCCTATCCACAAGCCCCTCTGAATCAGAAACTCTGGGGGCCCAGCTGTGTCCTAACAAACCTGAACAACACTAAGAAAATGAGAATCATGCATCAAAGAAAGAGTCTGTGTTCTGTCAACCCTCAGGACATCAGAATTGATTATTTTTCAAAATTCTAGGATAACAGGGCTTGAAAAAGCCAATATTATTTGAGTCACAACAAATAAAAAATCATTTTCTTCAAATGGTTGACAAGTTCTTAACACCTCCAACTCAAACTACCTGTTCAGGTTGCAATAACACTTTGAACAAACAGATATAATAGTCACAAATGCCTTTCCTCATAAATATATTAAATTCTCAAGAGCTGAAGGTATGGTAGAGTCAGAATTTCTCCTCCTTCAAATATCTTTTAATTCTCTGATCTATAAATTCTCTTTCTACAAAAACTTTTCAAAAACTTCTCCCTGTTCATTCTTTAAATTTTAGGGTTCATAAACACTTCTTGGAAACTTCTTCAAATTGCCTTTCTCCTTAGTGATTCATATACCAAAGGTATTCCTGCGCCCAGTTACTTGGTGGGGGCGGGCGTTGCCTTGGCCTCCTGCACAGGGCTCCTGGGTAGGTATTTCAGATAACTTCCTGCCTTTCCCTGTTTTGTAGGTAACTTTCACCCATTTCTTTCATACTCTTACCAACTTGGTCTGTTTTTATTTTGTATTTTCCATATCTCATCAAATAGCTCTATTGAACGTCATCTCATGTATTATTCTAACGTGTTTTAAAAGCTACATTCAAAGACTAAACACGCCTTGCAGTGTGATTGCAATTTGGAAACTTTCAAAGCCCTCTTCCCTAGGATGGTAGCTATAATTTGAGTACTGAACCTGGCTTTTTATTACTCTTCTCTGTCCCAGCCTTCCCTAAAATCCCAAATTTGGTCCTCTGGGCTCCTAACCAACTGCTACACATGCTCCAACAACCTCTTCTATATAACTTCTACCTTTTTCTCTTTATTAGTTTCACCCAGAGCAGCGACTCCCAAACTTGGCACCACATTAGGACAACTGGAGCTCTTTAAAGAATACCAATGCTTTACTCCCAGTCCCAGAAATTCTGATTTAATTGGGCTGTCTCAACTTTGGGACATCAGGAGTTTTTTACAGCTCCCCAGGTGGTTCTAACATGCAGCAAAACTTGAGAACCCCTCGCCTAGAGGGAAACCCACCGGCCAAGATGGCTCCCACATCTCCTGTGTATCAATCAGTCCCTCCACTGAGTCCCTCTGCTCAGAATCCCTCCACAGCTCCATCTGCCTAGCACTTTGCTGCCCTCTGCTGGCATTTCTCAGCTTCACCTCCAACTGGCTCAGCCCTCTGCAAGCTGCAATAGAACCCTCTGGTTTAAGTGATTAGATGACTTTTTACATTTTTAAAGACAGACATTCTAAGAGAACTAGATCATTCAACGTTAAGTTATATTTGCCACTTATCAAACTATGTGTATATATATACACATATATTTTCTATATATTTAGAATATGTGTATGTGTGTGTGTGTGTGTATATATATATACACACACACACACATACACATATTCTATATAGAGAAAATGACTAGCATGTGCAAGTTTCCAAATAATACTTAAGATAAATACAGAGATTATACCTAATGATGAGGATATTTATGCTGTTAGTAAAATTAATTTTTTATTTAAAAAAATGATTGGAAAAGTAGCTTTCAGGCATGCAAGAAATTTAGTATACTCTAACTCTTCCTTTTTACTGCCTTTTTCTTTTTTTTCTTTTTTTTTCACCTGAAACAGTATCTGAGCAGAAAAGCTTTTTTTTTTTTTTTTTTTTGAGCTAGATCCCTATTTTCTTGGCTGAGTAAGAGATATTAACGACCTAGGTGGGTCAGGAAAGAGGAGAAAAGGACAACCTCATTCGTGAGGATCAGAGAAAAGTTCTGTGGAACAGATTTTTCTGAACTCATAGTGCTAGAGTAATATAATTTTAGAATATTTGAGGGTTTCCCTTTCTGTGCTTTTAACAGTCATGCTGTAGTTTATCACAATAATAGCAATAATATTGTTGACTTTTTTTTTTAGTTCTTGTAAGCTAGCCATGACTGTGGGTGGTTTACCTCTTATTTTACAAAAATCTTTTATCCCAATTTTAAAGAAAGGAAAATTTCTCAGAAATTTTGTCCAAGAAACCAGAGTAAGTGACTATAATAGGCTGAATTATGTCTCTTCCAAATTTATATATTAAAGTTTTAACCCACAGTAGCTCAAAATGTATTTTGATATAGAATCTTTAAAGAAGTATGTAAATTAAAAGGCATCATTAGAGTGGACCCTGTCCTTATAAGAAAAAGAAATTTGGACACAGACACGTTACAGAGGGAAGACAACGTGAAGACGTGAGGAAAAGAAGACACAAACCAAGGAGAAAGGCCTGGAACAGCGTCGACCCCCGTGACCTTCTGAAGAAACCAACGCTGATGACACTTTGATCTCAAAGTTCTAACTTTCAGAACTGAGAGACAATAAGCTGCTATTGTTTAAGCCACCTCAGTCTGTGGTATATTGTTACAGCGACCCTAGAAATATACAGTGACAGAACTAGAATTCAAATCCAGGCCTAGCTTATTTCGAGCCTTTGCATATTCAACCACACTACAACCTTAATCCTTAACACTATAAACTACTTTGTAAATTGTTAGAAGCTAGTATTATGGATAAGCATAAAGTATTATGTGTCCTTAGTTCCACTTTTCATATAATTACTTTCTGCACTCCAAAAGCCAAAGACTCTTGCTTCAGTGAAATTACCTTTATATAGTACTTCACAATATATTTCTCTCTATATTTTTAAATGCTGGTTTTTTCCTCTGGCTGTGCCACAGAATTTCTCTTTCAATGCTTGAACTTCTGCACCCTTCGAGTTCAATTAAATTTAAAAATGTTTTCTTTCATCTTCGTAAGATCATAAACACTTCCCATTTTTCACCTCCATTATCTGATTAGCCTTCCATGGTTACATTTTTAACAGTTCTTTCCTATTCATGAGAATTCTGAATGTCCACATATGTTTCATATTAAAAATTAGATAAGGATGCTCTACTGAGCTTTTTTTCCAATAAACTAGATAATTCAAATTTCCCATTTTAGCCAAGCCCTGTGATTAGTTAATGATCTCACCAGTTGCTTAGAAAAGGATTTACCCATTTGTTGCTAATTTGGAGACTTGTCTTTTTCCCCATTCTGTATAATAAATTCCTGTTGATTTCTACTCTAAGGTATCAAAAACAAAAACAAAGACCGTACCCACCCTTCAGTCATTTTTACTTTATGAACAAAATAACAATCACGTATTTTTGGATTCCACTTCCTTCTACTTGCCCCCTCTTTGGTTCATTCATTTATTTTTTTAAAAGTTTATGCTAATATCTTTTTGGCATTTTGAGGCCAATGGGCAAGATTTATAGACAATATTCTTATTGCAACATCAGGATGAAAATACCACAAACATTTCCTGGGCCTCCGCAGCCCACCTGAGGTTTCCTATGACTCAGAGCACTGAGACAGTCTCTGTGAATCATGTAGCCGTGAGACCACAGGATTAACCTCACGCCTCCACTACTGAGGACAAGTGGCTGTATAGAGATGCTGCTTTTACACAACCAAGCCGGCCTTTCTGGAGGATCCTGAGTGAGTTGGGTCCTGGGGTTCCTTTGGAGACACAGCCTGCATCCCACATGCATGTGGGTTTGAAATGCTCAACCCTCAGAGAAGTGCCCCTTGTAGGTTTCTTCAGAGCATAACTCAAGCTTCTTAGTTGGAAGAAGCAGAAAGCAACTCTGGGAGATGTCAACAGAATAATAATTTCTTGAAAAGGTATTAGATAGCTTTCAGAATGCCATGAGGGCCAGAGCTCAGAATACAATAGAAAACAGGGGCAGGCAGCCAGCGGCCACGACACACCTTGGCACAGATCTTGTCTAGAAGGGACAGCACTTTCACTTCCCCTAAAAACCGAATGCTGTGGTGGACTCTAAAAATTAGGTGCTGCTCAGTTGCAAAATTTATTCTTCACTGATTATAGGTGCTTTGCATCTCCACCTCCAGACTCAAATGCAGACCAAGCAAGTGTGATCGGCCACATCTAAGTCAAATGCTTGCTTCTCAGCTGCCAAGAATACTGTATAATTGAGCATCAAGCCTTCTATAATTCAAAGTAGAAATAGTCTCTGTCTCCTATCGGGACTCATAAAAGAGGGCCCCCCCCCAAACAGAAGCAGGGGCTGGGATGCTGAGTAGCTCATAGAAAGTACAGATGTCCTCCACTCATCACTCCTTTAGTTGTTCAAACCCGACCCCCCACTTCCCAAACCAAATGACTCCTAGGTGGTGTAATGCAATTACCCTTCACTTCTTAAAATATACTCTTCCCAAAGAGAGAAAACTTCAAATCTTATTCACTGCATCCAGGTCTAGTTGAAGATCTCTGGATGATGTCACTTCTAAATTTGTCATGATCCTGTCTCCATATTCTCCTTTGAACTCAACTGGATAGTTAACCATTTCCAATATATGCCATATAACGTGATAGTATAGAGAAAAAGGAACAAGAATTAAGTTAATAGTAGGATGAATTTTAAAATCAGCATAAGTAAACATATATAAATCATGGCCTGGAAGGAAGTGTAGGTAGCAACTATAAGGTTATGGTCTCATTTTTACAAATAGTTGCTATTTGTGACTTCTTCCTGCTGGTCATCATTCCCAGTCATTATTACTTTGGCTGATAATTGTTCGTTAACTGGTGAGATGGCCAAACCTCTATCTCTGAGGGTTCCTACCATCACAGGGAATCCCCCAACCATGACAATCACTCCTCCTTGCCCCCATTGTATAAAGCAACCCTATTTCTCCTTGATAGTATCAATTTTCAAAGCTAACACTGTAACCCACTTTGGCTGTTCCCCCTAACAGTCATAGGAGTCCCAAATAGCCAGATGGCAGTTTCAGTTTATAATTCAAGGAAAGCATCTGTGCGTAGACACTTTCATTTCTAAAGTACTAAATATCTAAACCAGCAGCCTCTAGAAAGTACATTTTTTTTTCCAATTGATTCACTAGGAAAGAAGAGATGGGCATATTGTTTTCTCCCATCACTTGGTCCTTAAACCCATATGTATGCAATGAAAACATCCTGTATTCAGTATAGGTTACTCATACATGCACATTTCACAAGACAGCACACAAATCTTTTAATGTATGGTCACTCAGCTACTGGTGTAACAGAGTTTTAATAAGGCAGGCCACCATTCTATTAAGGGTACATATTCTATACAGGAAAGAGAGTACATAATCAGACTAGTGACTCCTATGAGCAGCAGCTCATTGCTTAAGTCTCGATGTAAGTCAATTCCTAACTTGGAATATCATGGAAAATCAAGAGGAGTATAGACAGTCAGGAAATCCATGGACAGTGGTGCTAGAAGAAGTACGGCAGGAGGAAAGTCAAATCTAAATCCACAGTAAGATTCTGCTTTACTCCATAACAAAAAAAGCTCAATAGTAGATAATACAACATAAAATCTACAGTGAAAAACTAAAGACATCTTTTGGGCAAACTATTCTGGAATCTGTGGAAGTAACAAATCTCAAAATAAAAATAAAAATTGTATAACTCCAGATAGAAAGTGAGCTAGGTCCTGGAGTTTTGAATACATGGAACTTGCTTATTATAGTATGTTGTTTCTCTACTTGTTTTCCGTATAGTGGGATTTAGAAACATGTAACTAATTTGTTCCTTTATTTATTCAACAAACACTTATGGATAACAAACCATGTAACAAATAAATCATTGTATATAAAAGTAACCATTGTTTATATAAGGAGGAGCTCAGAAGAGGGTTTTGAGTTAGAGATAAAAATATCTGTCTGCAAACCGGCAAACAGCAGCTGAGTTGGTGATTGTGAGTGGGATGGCCTAGGGAGCAGATACAGATGAGAAAGAGATGCTCTAGTCCTAAATATTGAGGAAATTTAACAGTTAATGAAATTAATTAGACCCCTGCTATCTTCTGTGTCCCCAGGGCACATCTAAATTAAATATAGCAAATAACACCTCACGTGTAAACATGGAAAATATAAAACATTATGGGAAAAAATGGCACAAATTGGGTTATATAATGACTAATGGAGAAATGTGACACATAGAAAAATAAAAGTTAAAATAAATCTGGGTGTCTCCAGTACTGTTCAAGAAGAGATCAGTTGGTTTTGATTTATTTAGAAAAAATTTTGCTTAAAGTGGAGCAGTTGAATCAGTTTGCAACAGTTGAAAGAATTGATGTGTAAGTTTTTCTAACCAAATTTTCTCCAGTCCTATAGGCAAAAGGGTGATGGTGCATAGATGAGCTGGAAAAGAAGGAGGGATCGACTCTTCATTCTTTGAGCCTGGAGGAAAGAAAGTAGAGGTATGTGTGTATTTAGAAAAATGTATAGCACCAGGGCAGGAAAGAAAAGGAGGCCACACATGATGTCTCATGGTTGATAGCAAGTCCTGGGGACAAGATGGCATGAGGAAATTGTGTCATTTAATATTTAAGGGAAATGGGACAAACAGTTGACTTAGCATGAATAAGAAGATATACAGGTGTCAATGAAGTTTCTGTTCAAGTTAATGACCTTGAATTTTTAAATAGGGTTGCTGAACACAAGTTTAAGATAGAATTGTCCTTATAACATTAGTAGTACTTTTAACTCATGGTAGTTGACATCCAAACAATCAGCTATTTAATTTTTTAATGAGTATTTGGTGTTTAGTAGACCAAATTTTTGGATAGCTGAAATTTTTACTTTGGAGCCAGTTGTTTTGGATAGTGCAGATATACCTCATGTTTTCCCACCGAACTAAAGCACTTAATGTGCTATTTCATGCCTATTCTCTCAACAAAGTATAGAAAGCCAGACAGAGGCTGGGGGGGAAAAAAGGCCCGTGATATATGCTAAGATTCTCCTTTACAATTGTGTACCCTCTTTGGTCCTCGCTTCCCACCCACCATAGAATTTACTCCAATGGGCTTCCAGCCCCTCAGGCCCCACACCCCACACCACTTCCCAGCCAGGACAATGGCTAGCCACAAGGTTTTAAATCCAGAGTCATTGTTAATCAAAAAAACCTAAGAGTCCTGCGGGATGTATCCGGAGCCTGCACAGCTGTAAGCATCAGCCCAATTACATCACATGCCTGAAGGGGGCATCTTCCCATTTACAAGAAAGGTTAACCAAAGCCGATGATATTAGATTTGTCAGTGCTTTCACCACCACCCCTCCTAAATGAAATCAAGGCTAAAAGAAATTAATGATATGTCAGAGCGTGATGGGTAGATAAGTAAAAGATCTAGTCTTATTCAGCACTGCATGTTTTTTTATTAGGCAACATGAACTTCCTCCTATGTACCTAGATGCTGTCCTAGACCTTCTGGGAACCTGATTTCCTTTTTCTAAAGAAATGTTACTGATTCCTAAAGACACAAAGATTTTTTTCAGCATGCCAATGCTTCCCATTTTTGTAAAATAAACATTAGGCAAAGAGTTCATTGATAAACCCATTTTCTACGTTATCCAGGTACTATTTTGAGAATGCTAATGAAAATTCCATTTTCCAGATATGTATTTCTCCAAGAAGCATTAGAAGAAAGTCTTGAATTATATCAGTACATTGCGTTTTCGTACATGTTTTTCTAGCCAGTCTCTCCATTAGTGAAATTAACTTGAAGGACAATGAAATATTTTGACGAAGTAGAATTTTAATATTGGCTAATGAAACTAATTCCTTGATTAATCTATTTGCTTTTTCCAAAGGCATCCAATCAAACAGGCTTTCAGAAAAATTAATGTGTTGTCTTCTTTTTATTAAATAAACTATGATAAATTAGCCAATAGCATTGTGGAAGAGAAGTCCAACTCTACCTTTTAAATCCTGCTGGGCAAATTGACTGAATCCACTGTTTAGAACTCATCAGAAAAACAGCAGTGTGATTAAGAGTCATACGAAATTACCGAGCAATAGCAGCTTATGCTTTTATCTCTTTAGCACTGGTTTTCTCTCAGTGAAGGTTTACACCCTTGGTTTTCTTCTTTTCTTTTAATAGGTACATATTTATATCATATCTGTATGTCGCCTTTAACTAATTGGCTAGTATTACCAGTGTTCTTTTGCATTTTATATTCTCTTGAATTTTATAAAGAATGAAGCCTCAGACTCTCTGGGTGCTATAGCAATCTCTATTCATAAATATTATACTTAATTACTTAAACATAAATTGTTATATGTTTATTTTATAATCTTCGTGCCATTTAGAAAAGAGCATGTAATACTTACTAATAGTTAAAAATATATAAACTATTTAAATACTTATACAGTACCTATACTCTGTCTCTCCACACCTTCTCATAGCTGTTAAATGTGTCTTTTTATCTTTCTCCACTACCACAGCTATGATTCTCTCTTCCTCTCATAGTTGCTTTTATTCTTTCCTGAAATCTGGATTGCTAAAACTACCTCTTCAGGGACACTGTTGGTGCCCTACCCAGATTCTTTGGACTCCTTTTTACCCATTTTGTATATCCCTCTTCCACATTCTGTGTACTGTGCTTCTTACAGCTTGCACTTGGGAGCTATTCTCAGAGGACTGCCCTTGGCCTACTGGAGCTACATCGCCCACGGTAAAGAGAGCTAGTACTTCCTGGGGGTTTACACCTGGGATGGATCCACAGCCAACCACCAACTGGCAGGGGCAGGAAAGGCCAGCTTCCTTGCTCTGAGGCTGGTCAAACACCAAAGTATAACTTACTCTCAAGGGCTCCCATAGGGATCAGTCTATGACTGGGACTCCACATGAGACTGTACCTGTGAGTGGCCTCCTCCATATCCATGTCTTGCGCCCTTATATGTCTCCTCAAGCAGCACTTCCTTCATCAATCATTTACAAAAAAATTCTCATCTTCAAGTTAGTTTATGGGAGGCCAGATATAAAACAGTAAACAGAGATTTCACCTTTTCTTCTTCACCCTGTAACATGAGTAGCCCTTCAAAAATGCAAGTCTATTTATGACACGGCTCGCTTAAATATTTGCAGAGATGTCTCATTGTTCTTAGGGACATTTTGACACCTTACTATAACGCACAAGTTTCTTTATGACCTTCCCTAATATTCCTTAACTCTCACTTCTTCACAGAACTTAGACCCTTTGGATTTTTTCAGTTCCTTGAATACTCTTTCTCCAGGTTCTCTCTTACCTCTGGTCTTTCAATCAGACTGTTCCCTCTGCATAAATCAATCTTACTCTCATTGGCCTCTTTAATTGGACCATTCCCCTTCCTGCTTCAGGTTCTCACCCTTTCTGGAAAGCTTGTCCCTGCCCTCCACAGACCAGGTTATGTGCTCTCATGACCTCATAGCAATAAACAGGTCTTATGTCTATAAGCTGCTCTAGCTAGATTGTTAGCTCTGTGTGGTAATGGGCCATGTCTACACCCCAATATCTGTCACAATGCATGACAGAGTTGGTGCTTTGTAGGAATTTGTTGAACGAGTGACCGCAGTGACAGATTAAAAGCAGGCCAACTTGCAAAGCAACAGAATATACATTCTTCTCAAGTGCATATGGAACACTCTCCAGGACAGACCACATGTTAGGCCACAAAATGTTAGTCTCAGTAAATTTAAGAAGACTGAAATCATATCAAGTGTTTTCTCTGACCACAATCGTATGAAAATCTCAAATAAACAATCTAACCTTACACTTAAAAGAACTAGAAAAAGATCAGCAAACAAAACCTAAAATGAGTAGAAGGAAAGAAATAATAAAGATCAGAGTGGAAATAAACAAAATAGAATGTAGAAAAACACATAAAAGATCAATGAAACCAAGAGCTGATTCTTTGAAATGATAAATATAATTGATAAACTTCTAACTGGACTCATCAAGAAAAAAAGAGAGAGGATCCAAATAAATAAAATCAGAAATTAAAGAGAAGTAACTACAGACTCCACAGAAATGCAAAGATTTATGAGAAAATACTACAAGCAATTATATGCCAACGAATTGGATAATCTGGAAGAAATGTATACACTTTTAGAAACATACAATTTCCCAAGACTGAGTCAAGATGAAACAGAAAATCCGAACTGACCAATTACCACTAACAAAATAGAATTGGTAATCAAAAATCTTCCAAAAAACAAGTCCTAGACTGGATGGCTTCATAGGTGAATTTTACCAAAACTCCAAAGAAGAATTAACACCTATTCTTCCCAAACTATTCCAAAAAATTCAAGAGGAAAGAAGGTTTCCTAACCCTTTTTATGAGGCCACCATTATCCTGATTCCAAAACCAAACAAAGACATAACAAAAAAAGAAAACTATAAACTGATATTCCTGATGAACTTGATATAAAAATCCTCAACAAAATATTAGCATACCAAATTCAGCAATACATTAAAAATGTCATACACCATGATCAAGCTGGATTTATTCCTGGGATGCAAAGTTGGTTTAATATTCATAAATCAATTAATGTGATATACCACATTAACAAATTGAGAGATAAAAATCATAGATCGTATCAACAGACACAGGAAAAATTGTTCAACAAAATCCAGCATCTATTTATAATTAAAAATAACTCTCAGCAAAGTGGGACTAGAGGGAACATACCTCAACATAATAAAGACCATATATTTCAGACCTACAACTAACATCACACTGAATGGGGAAAAAGTAAAAGTATTTTTCTTAAGATCAAAACAATACAAGGATGTCCACTTTCACCACTTCTATTCAACATAGTATTGGAAGCCTTAGCTACAGCAATTAGACATGAAAGATAAATAAAAGGCACACAAATTGGAAAGGAAGAAGTAAAACTGTAATTATTTGCAGGTGACATGATACTATATAGAGAGAACCCTAAAAATTCCACCAAAAAAAATTAGAACTGATAAATGAATTCAATAAAGTAGCAGGATTGGAAATTAATATTCAGAAGTCAGTTGCATTTTTATACATCAATGATGAACTATTGGAAAGAAAAATTAAGAAAACAATCCTATTTACAATTGCATCAAAAACAATAAAATACCTAGGAATCAAATTAACCAAGGAGGTGAAAGACCTGTTCCTGGAAAATTATGTCACTGAAAAAAGAAATTAAAGAAGATACAAATAAATGTAAGCATATACTGTGCTCATGGGTAGGAAGAATCAACATTGTTAAAATAACCATACTACCCAAGGCAATCTATAGATTCAATGCAATCCCTATCAAATATCAACGGTATTTTTCAGAGAACTAGAACAAATAATCCTAAAATGTATATGGAACCATAAAAGATCTCAAATAGTGACAGCAATCTTGAGAAAGAACAAAGTTGAAGGTATCACGCTACCTGATATCAGACTATACTACAAGGCTATAGTAATCAAAACAGCATGGTACTAGCATAAAAGCAGACACACAGATAAATGGAACAGAATAGAGGGCCCAGAAATAAATCCACACCTACATGTCATTTAATCTATGACAAAGGAGGCATTTAATCATGTTCTG